AAACGCAACCACAGGGGGGAGGGGTAAGGGACAACCCACACCACAGGGAACCACAGGGGGGGGGGGGGGATACCATGGGGTGGGGGTGGGAGGGGGGCCTAGCAGCGCTGCACCATGTATGTATACTTGTGTACGCACATGTACAGACGCGCACGTATCGACCTAAGCACCCCTGTGCCCATAAGTGCACATGCTTGTGTGCAAGTGCTTGAATCAGAATCAAGCACACATACAAACATAAAAGCATGCACACATGCCTACACACATGTGTGCACAGGTGTATATATAGAGACAGACGAACTGGGGAGTTGGCGGATCATGGTGAACTGCGAAAATGCCGTGCGAGACGGCCAGGGCAGGTTCCGATCAGAGAAGGAATCTGCGTCTCCGATGAACCCGGCCGAGACTAGTGTGCCCAACCCAAACCCAAACTCCCTCACCATAGACCCCAAACAACCCCAATCTCGAAGATGGCGGCCTGAACAATTTGGAAAATATCCCCTCGTTATCCCTGTATTCCCCTGCAAAAATATACCCCAACATCCTACTCTGCTGGTTAACGTATAAAAAGGGCTTCGGTTCCAGGGATTCTTAGGTGCTGACTACCTTAGCCCATAACTGTTCACCTTTTTGAACTGTGCTAGGATTATATAAAGCCCCAAGGGTTAAAGCTTACCTACTCAGCCACTAAGGATTAGAAACTCTCCGGACTTCGGCCCAAGCGTCGCAGCCGCCCATTCCCGAGCATCTGCGAGGAGCCGCGGGCAGCGAAGTGTGCCAAAAGTTTGGCCATGGCTCGGCTGCACGGGGGCGTTAGAGGGTTGGTGGGGGTACTGTTACTACTACTACTACTACTACTACTACTACTACTACTACTACTACTACTACTACTACTACTACTACTACTACGACTACGACTACGACTACGACTACTACTACTACTACTACTACTACTACTACTACTACTAGTACTAAGGGTAGGAGTCAGGGTGTGGGGCATGTGGGGTTGCAGACAAAGCCGGGCAAAGCTAGGGGCTGAAGACCCAGAGATGCAAGCAGGTTGACAGACAATTCTTGCTTCCAATCCTTGCAGGGCACGGTTGGGCCCAAAAAGTGGTCTAAATGGTGCTTCAAAGCCTTGTGGCTTGGGCTTAGAGGGATTCAGTGTAGTAGGTCGACAAGTCCTTGGTTGGAAGGGGGGCTGGGCTCAAACATAGGAGACCCTAATATAGCACCCTAAATAATGGGATCCTAATTAAAGGGACCCCAAAATATGGCACCGGGTATGGAGGATCTGGTCTGGAGCGCATGACACAGGGGGGGGGATGGGGAACTGGGAGCCTCATGGCTGCGGGCAAGGAGGTGTGCAAAGCCTGACATTTAACAGAAATGTTGAGATTAGTATTAGGATGTATGAATATGATATAACATGATCATATGAATAGTACTTTCCTTGGGCTCCCGAATATGCACCGAAGAAACTCTAGACTGAACAGGCAAGCCGAAGGAAAGCTTCCGCGTTTTCCTGCGATGACTACTCTGCTTGAAAGGCGCACACATGTGTCCAGGACACAGATGCAGGGCCCCCTGCCCGAACCTCGCACATAACATGTAGCTGTGGCAGCAGTGCTGGTTACGGTGCTTAGACTGACTTTCTTCGGGTTTGCTTGCTGCAGCTGGCACTACGACTGATACTCTCTGTATTTGACTGTAGGTAGCCACTGTAGTCATATCTGTTGCTGCAGGAGGTTCGGGTTTAGGGCCACGGGGGCTACCGGAATCAAGGCCGCACTCGCCATGCTCTTGGAGCATTGAGTGCTGCTCGAGAGGCAGTCGGAAAGAGCTGGCGCCCTGGGCAGTACTCGCCGGGCGGAGAAGTAGTCTGAAGGGTGTGGGCCTCCTTCTTGTCGCATCTGAAGGCTTCCGGCTTCTTACGAGCTCCAACCATCTCGAAGATGTCGCTCCAAGACGGACATGCGAAGGAGACCGCCTTTACCCAAAGAACTACCTGTCTACTGGGTCTCTGTCCCAAGGTCTGATCGACCGATTCGGGAGCACAAAATCATGCATTGCAGATCGCGATGGGGGGAGCGGCTGGCACAAAGTGATGTCTGTGGCTCTCCAATGCGAGCTTCATCAGAAAGCTGCAACATCAACAACCGTTTCTGCTGCTGCTGCCACCGACTCCTCCAACTAGTGATGTCTCTGCGCCCACTATTACCACTACAGTACTACTTCTTCAACTCGGAGCTCTATCCAATCAGACGGGAGCCACACTACCACTGCTACTGCCACTGCTACTGTGACCACCGCCACTACCACCACTACCACTACCACTACCACTACCACTACCACTACCACTACCACTACCACTACCACTGCCACTGCCACTGCCACTGCCACTGCCACTGCCACTGCCACTGCCACTGCCACTACGACTACCACCACCACTACCACTACCGCTACCACTACCGCTACGACTACCACTACCGCTACCACGACAGCTACCGGTAACACTACCGCTACCACTACGACCATTTCCCACTTCCACTGCTCCTACTCCCACTCCCACTCCTACTCCTTCTGCTACTCCTACCAACTCTGTTACTGCTTATCCTACTCCTGTGCCCCCTGCCCCTGCCACTGCCCCTGCTGCTGCTGCTCCTCCTCCTCCTCCTCCTCCTACTACTACTACAACAACTACTACTACTACTACTACTACTACTACTACTGCTACTACTCCTCCTCCTCCTGCTGCTGCTGCTCCTACTACTGCTACTACTACTAGTACTACTACTACTACTACTACTACTACTACTACTACTACTACTACTACTACTACTACTACTACTACTATACTACTACTATACTACTACTACTACTACTACTACTACTACTACTACTACTACTACTACTACTACTACTACTACTACTACTACTACTACTACTACTACTACTACTACTACTACTACTACTACTACTACTACTACTACTACTACTACTACTACTACTACTACTACTACTACTACTACTACTACTACTGCTACTCCTACTCCTACTCCTACTCCCACTCCCACTCCCACTCCCACTCCCACTCCCACTCCGACTCCTGCTCCTGCTCCTGCTCCTGCTCCTGCTCCTACTCCTCCTACTCCTGCTCCTGCTGATGCTCCTGCTGATGCTCCTGCTGATGCTCCTGCTCCTCGCTCCTGCTCCTGCTCCTGCTCCTGCTCCTGCTCCTCCCCCTCTTGCTGCTGTGATCTTTGCTGCTATAAATGCTACATCTGCTACATGTACTGATGCCAGGAGGCAAGCACCTCAAATCCAAGTCAGACGCGCACACACACACACACACACACACACAACCGACCAACCAACCAACCAATTCCGAATTCAGCCCGTCTTCCCCTCAACGCTGGCCACGCCTCAGCACATCGGCCGCCGTGGCACGGAATTAACATGCAAACGACCCGGACGGTCCCAAAACGACCCTGCACCAAAGAGCGATTCCAGGGCTTTGAGATTCGCATTTGGAAGCGGTTTCGGGTTCACCTACAAGCAAACCCTCAGACGGTATCAGCCCAGGGTTCGGGAGGCAAGCATTTTTGGCCACGATTCGGGCGAAGTGCCAACCCCCAACCTTCAAGCCCTCAATGAAGCCTAGCTACCGGGCATAGAGCATAGGATGTAGGAATCCTGAAACCTTCAACACCCTAAACCCTAAAACAAGGGCCTAAATAAATACCTATACTATTTTTTGGGGGGGGGGGGAGTCCTTATTATAATCACGGTATAATGGGCCCCAGAACCTATTCCAATTATTACGGCCCCTATAGCAAAGGCCCAACGAATCGAAACAGAGTCGTCCCATGGGGCGCTCGAGGCCAGACTAAGCGAATTTGTGAGTCTGGCAGCGACTTCGCTCTCCATCCATCAGAGAGCCGAGTACCCCCTCAGGAACCTTAAGAGTCTACATAGGGTATATAGTAGGGATATAAGGATCTTAAGGTTAAGGGCCCATACTAATGTAGGAACCTGATTAAGAAACCTTGGGCGTGAATTAAGATTTCTTATACGAATCCTACTGTTTTGGGGTTAAGTACAGGGCCAAATACATTACCTGGCATTACCTTCTACCTCAGGACACAAAGATCGCGAGGCGGTGCTGCATATTGGTTGAGATTCGCCTTGTATGTTCGCCGCCGTGTCCATAAAGCCAGGTCTTGATGTATTATCTCTCCCCGGCCTTCGCGTGGTAGCTACGGGGGGAGCCAAAGAAACGAGAAGCAAACAGCAGGAGCAATGGCGGCAGCAAGGGCAGGAGCAGGAGCAGCCACGGTAGTCGTAACAACGACCACGACAACTGTGCCAGCGGACAACAGCAATGCAAGCGGAAGAATACAGGTGCAGCGACAAAACTGAGCATGCATCATACGAAAATCACAACGAAACTATTCGCCTGCAGTGCCTCAAGATCAGGGATTTGTGGTTTTCCGGCATTTGGGTGTAGCATTTTAAGCCAGTACAAGGTGGTACTAAACATGCTTGGGAAACCACTGTCCCGCTGCAAAGGGGAGTTTCCGAAAATAGGGGACCCTAATGTAGTACCCTAAAGAGTAGGATCCTTATTATAAGGACCCCAAAATATGGTACCCCAAATTATCGGAAACTCCCAAAGGTTAACGCCCTGCCGCGCCCCTGCGTCCAAAGCTGGAACTCTTTATGTTGACGAAGGGTGAAGGGATGTTAACTGTAAAGGTTGCTGCTTTAAGCCTCAGCTTAAGGTAACAAGATTTTGGGTAAAAGATGAACCCTCTCAGTCTCCCTGGCACTCGAAACATCAAGCCTGGATTGAAGGGCTGCACTTGCGGCCCTGGCTGAAACAATCCCTACACCCTTGAACCTAACCTAACCCAAAATAACACAATCCCTGCACCCTGAAACCCTAACCGAACCCAAAACCTGCATCCTGGGTACGGTGATGGGACGCACAAACGAAGTCACTGCTGCAGCTCTTGATCAATCTTGAAGGCCGCCCTCCGCGCCTTTTGACAGACATAGGGCTTGGACTCCCGCAACAAAGGGTTTCGGGTTGACGGTTGAGGGGAGATTTTGGGGAAGGTCCTGACGGTATCCTGTGTCTACTCCTCATTCTTTCTCTCCTTCTCTCTGTCTCTGTGTATCTCCGGTGTCTCTCCTGCTTGACGCTCCGACTTTCACATCCTGTCACCTACCGAGCTTGTGCTGCCCAGTTCCCGAAGAAGACACTGCAAGTGCCTTCTGGCGCCGCTTCTTCTCACCCCGATCGCAGAGGTGGCAGAAGTTGCACATAGCGCCGTTCAAGCAGCCCTTCGCGTACCTCAGCGGCGTGTGGCACCATGGCAAGCCAATCCAACATTAAAGCCTGCGTAATTGAAACGAAGTTTCGTCATGTGGCTTAGTCTGTTTCAGGCTGGTGCGCTTCGTGGTGCGCAAACATAAATACACCCATACAAACACATGCACACACACACATGCATGCATATATATATATATACATATCAGATATACTGGCGTGCCTTTACATATGTCGGTTTGCGCGTACATGCCTATATCAAGCATCTAGTCGTCCACACTTACACATGAGTCATATGAGTGCCTGAACACAGCCGGTGCGCCCAAATAGATTGATTGATTGGTTGTGTGAGAGAGAGCTCTAGCGGCTCTAGCGAGACAGAAGAAGTTTCAGCAAATAGAGACAGAGAGATCGCGAGATAGGGAGATAGAGATAGAGAGACATAGACCACGTCGCTCACTCGCTCGCTGCTAGATAGCTAGCTAGCAGCGAGAGAGGACAGACAGAGAGAACGAGAGATAGACAGGCAGAGGTAGACGGACGGACGGACAGACAGATAGCTATATGCCCTCCGAAGAGGATCAAAATACAAATGCTATCCAAAGCGGCATGATGAAAGTAAAGGAACCTCAAAAACTTCAAATGGGGGACCTGACCCAAGTCCCTTTGAGCCCCTTTTTCCCGAATACTTGCCCTTAGGATACTTGCCCTTAGGATTTAGGGTTTAGTTGGAGGGGCAGGGGACTTAGTAAGTCGCTTATAAGTAGGGTTATTAATTGGTGTAACTCCATTTAGGGTACTTATCACTCTACTTATAACCTACTTACTAAGCCCCCTGACCCTCCAAGTAGGGTGCAGGGTTTAGGGTTTAGGGTTTGGGGTTTACGCTCTCACAACTCGGACACAGCCAGGCGAGGTTCTTAGGTGCGAAGTCGGTGTGAAAAGAAGCTGAGGCCGATTCTCACTTGTACCAGTTCACCACGAGGAGCTGCAACAAAGTTAGCCAAACGCTGACCAGTACACCACAAGAGAAAGAAGGCAGCCATTTCAAGGACTGCGCATTGGTCGGAGAATCGACGACGGTCTCTCAGGGGTTTAGGGTTTAAGGTTTTGGGGCTTGGGGTTTGTTGGAGCTTGTGCTTTGGCTTGGGGTGAAGGGGTTTGGCCTTCGCCGGTCTGGGAATCGTTCGAAGGACCTCGAGCTGAAGCACGAGGAGGCTGCAAGGGTTTCGGGTTTAGGGTCGGCAGCGGTAAACCTAAGCTTTAGAAATCATCGCCAAGGTGCAAAAACGCGCAAGGCCTGCAATCGCCACTGAAGTGGCCTCTTTCAGCGACAGGTGCGGTCAACACGGAAAAGCCTGTGAAACTCTGGACTGGAATAGCCTCCTGAAGACGTGGCGGCAATCTTCCCTACACAGACGAGCCTCAAGCAGCAGCCGGGGCTAGGTGGGCGGGATGTTGTACAGAGCACTTTCAAGATTTGGGGCCTACGGAGCAAAGCTGAGCTGAAGACAGGGTCTGAGAGCATTCAGACGTGCCAGTGTATCTGCCACGACAAACTGTCCGGAGCATTACGATATGAAGTTGCAGTGAAACAGCAGCAACAGTGACAATACAACGGAAGTGGTCGTGGTCGAGGTCGTGGTAGTGGTAGTGGTAATCGTCGTCGCCGTCGTTGTAACAGTTTTTGTTGTAGTTGCTGTTGTTGTAGGCTCGGACCACCTGTAAACGCGCGTTTCGCATGTGCCGATTGCACCGGTATTTGCCGTGTTTTGCGTGGGTCACATGCCGAAAACACCACTGTCAGCGGTGGTTCCGGCGTGTCCGCTTTCCACGTTTCTAGTGGCGCCTGAAACATCGGTATTTGTGGTGTTGTGCATGGTTCACCTGCCGAAAACACCACAAATGCCGGTGGTTCCGGCGTGTCCACAACAGCGCATCCATGTCCAAGACCTAATGACGTCCATGGTCTACTGCGACGTCGAAACAGTGCATCCATGTCCAAGACCTAATGACGTCCATGGTCTACTGCGACTTCGAAACGAATGACGTCCAGATCAGACCATATCCATTGCCGCAGAGCATCCATGGGCCAACCATGATCACGTCCAGATCAGACCATACCCATTGCCGCAGAGCATCCATGGGCCAACCATGATCACGTCCAGATCAGACCATATCCATTGCCGCAGAGCATCCATGGGCCAACCATGATCACGTCCAGATCAGACCATATCCATTGCCGCAGAGCATCCATGGGCCAACCATGATCACGTCCAGATCAGACCATATCCATTGCCGCAGAGCATCCATGGGCCAACCATGATCACGTCCAGATCAGACCATATCCATTGCCGCAGAGCATCCATGGGCCAACCATGATCACGTCCAGATCAGACCATATCCATTGCCGCAGAGCATCCATGGGCCAACCATGATCACGTCCAGATCAGACCATATCCATTGCCGCAGAGCATCCATGGGCCAACCATGATCACGTCCAGATCAGACCATATCCATTGCCGCAGAGCATCCATGGGCCAACCATGATCACGTCCAGATCAGACCATATCCATTGCCGCAGAGCATCCATGGGCCAACCATGATCACGTCCAGATCAGACCATATCCATTGCCGCAGAGCATCCATGGGCCAACCATGATCACGTCCAGATCAGACCATATCCATTGCCGCAGAGCATCCATGGGCCAACCATGATCACGTCCAGATCAGACCATATCCATTGCCGCAGAGCATCCATGGGCCAACCATGATCACGTCCGATCAGACCATATCCATTGCCGCAGAGCATCCATGGGCCAACAGATGATCCACGTCCCGCAGACCATCCATTGCCGCAGAGCATCCAGATGGGCCATCATGCCATGATCACGTCCAGATCAGACCATATCCATTGCCGCAGAGCATCCATGGGCCAACCATGATCACGTCCAGATCAGACCATATCCATTGCCGCAGAGCATATGGGCCAACCATGATATCACGTCCAGATCAGACCATATCCATTGCCGCAGAGCATCCATGGGCCAACCATGATCACGTCCAGATCAGACCATATCCATTGCCGCAGAGCATGCATGGGCCAACCATGATCACGTCCAGATCAGACCATATCCATTGCCGCAGAGCATCCATGGGCCAACCATGATCACGTCCAGATCAGACCATATCCTTTGCCGCAGAGCATGCATGGGCCAACCATGATCACGTCCAGATCAGACCATATCCATTGCCAGTGGGGGCCTATACAATGGGGGGTGGACAACCCGTGCCAGTGTCAGCATGTGCCGTTTTTCCCACACAGGCCACCTTTTTTTGCTTCCTATGCAAATAAAACGAAAAAACGCAAAGTTCCAAAAAACTGTGTGGAGGACGTCTCGCGCGAAACGGGCGTTTTTGACGCCGGCAGGGGGGGGGGCGCGCGCGTGCATGCAGCAATTGCACGTGCAATGAACACAAACAGACGTCTATGTCACCATGTGCTGTTTGTCCCACGCAGGTCACGTTTTTTGCTTACCTGCAAAAAGACAAAAATCAACACACGTTTGCCTTCCAGCCGCGCGCGCGTTTACAGGGCGTCCGCGCGTTGTTGTAGTTGTGGTTGTAGCTGAGTTGTGGTGGTGGTGGTGGTTGTGGTGGTGGTGGTGGCGGCAGAATTAAGATGAGGACTTTAACTGGCATTCGTGGTCATCGTCGGTGTCGTGGTCGTCGTTCATGTGGACGCAGTCGTTGTCACCGCCACCCGTTGCTGCAACCAGTGCTACTCCTCCGTGACTTTTGTGTTCTTTTCCAGGTATGAAAAAGCCCCTACTCTAAACCCACTCTCATTAGTCTTTCTTGCCACTGGGGGGCTTGGGGACTAGCCAGATCCTTGCAACCCACCCTATTCTAAACCCAAAAACCTTCTCTATCCCTCCTCTACTTGGAGGCCCAGGGGACTTAGTAAGTCGGTTATACTTGAGGACTGATAACTCTACCTTTAACCTACTTACTAAGTCCCCTGGGCCTCTGAGTAGAGATGATGTAGGAGAGTAGGGCTGGGAGCTGGCTGTAGTACTGCTTCTTTTTGCCACTGGCCTTGGGGACGACCTAATTACTCGTAACCCAAAACCTTCTATCTCTAATCGCTCCACCCGCTGGCGCCTTGCGATCCAAGGCTAGGCAGCTCCGTGGGCTCCCACGGCAGCTGCGCCTCCGCTGCCGCGCTTAGCATGAAAGGGATGGAGCCGGGGGCTGTAGGATTTAGGGTCCCGGGTTTAGGGTGTAGAGTTTAGGGTATAGGGTTTAGGGGTGTAGGGTTTGGTGTGGGGTGTAGGGCTTCGGTTCTTTATTCGGAAAGCTCCTTTGCGACAGTCTCAGGGGTTTAGGGTCTAGGGTTTCGGGTTTAGGGTGTAGGGTTTAGGGTTCGGGCTAGCACTGTGCACCTTCAGCGGCACTGTTTCTCGACACGTTCGGTTAACATGTGCCCCGGCTAGAATCTAGCCGCTAGATTCCCATGTGGGAGTTTCCGAAAATAGGGCCCTAATAGAGTACCCTAAATACTAGGACCCTTATTATCATAAGGGACCCCAATGTAAGGTACCCCTAATATTCGGAAACTCCCATGTTGGCCGACCCCCACAAGATCTCCAGAACGAGGGTGACATGGCTGGAGTGGTTTCGGGGTCCAAAGACTCGGGGCTACTAAAATCACGTACAAACGCAACGATCTGAATTTGGGGAGTAAGGACGGCAAGGACAAGCACCTAAACAGACACCTTTGAAAGAAATAAATTCCTACAAGGTAGAACTCAACACTTTACTACCCCACACCAGAAACCCTTTTGAACGAGGTCTCTCTGAAGCGGGCAGCATGATTTCGCAAGTCTCAAAAACTCTTTTTCAGCACGGGCTTCAACAACCCTGAACCCCTAACGCCCCGAACGCCCGAAAGCCATGAGCCGCAATAGAACTTGGGTACGGCCCCCACTCAGTAATGGTTGAACAATACTCATAATATAGATATTAAGACCTTAATGGTAGACCCTAGTACAGACTCTTACTGTATGGGGGCAGTACCTAAAATAGAACCCTTTGGTTGGCATTTGGTGGAGCTTTCCCGGATCCCGATAAGAAGGTCATCACGCTCCTTCCAGGCCATTGAGGGCTTGTGAAGACGGATTCCCCAGAGACCCCAATATTCCCTACTTAAGGAATGCACCTTAAATTCTTATAGTAGGATCTCAAATATGATTTAAGGAATATTCCTTCATTAAGGGATATTGAAGTCTCTGATTCGGAGGTTGGGCTATTTCGGTTTTGGCTGTTACGGGAAGCTCCGCAGCAAAAGCCCGAAACCAATGTTCCGAACCAACAGAACTGTGAACCCCGAACCCTACTTTAGAGAGCGACGGCCAAATGTTCAATTGCCAGCAAAATACAAGCCCCATCATAAGCACCGCGGACACACCCTAAACTCCTAAACTTCATTAAGCCCCAAACCCTAGCCACAAACCCAAACTCCTGAAGCCTACAACAACAACATCCCTGAAAGAACTCTCTCCTTAAACACACAAGCTTGCGCACTCTTTAATATAGGGGGCCTTAATATATAATTAGAACAGGGCGTTGGTACCCATTATACAAAAACTGTAAAAAAAGAACCCCAAAATAATGTAGGTAATTGTTTAGTTTAGTAAAGCCCCGACAGTACCCAAAATCCTGGGAGTCCCAAGCCTTCACGAAGGCGTCCGCCGCCTCCGGCGTGGGCGCATGCCAGGACGGTCTGAGCCCTGGGATTCGGAGCGTTGATGCTTTTAGGATTTCAGGACTTAGGGTTTTGGATTTTGGAGTTTAGCGCTTTAGAGTCTTTAGAGTTTGAAGGTTGTTAAGCTTTACGGCTTTTTTGGTTCAGGTTTTAGGGCTTTACGCTCTCGCAACTCGGATTCTGCCATGAATTGCGACTCGCTTCTGACGCTAGGTTAAGGGCTCTTTTGGGTTTTAGGGTTTTAGGGCATTAGGCTTTAGAGTTTCAGCACTCACACTCGGACGAACCACGGCGAGGACCCCAACCTAGAGTTTAGGGCTTTAGAAAATCAGGGTTTAGAGCTTTGGAGCTTTAGGGCTTTGGCTTCAGGGTTTAGGCTTTTAAGGTTTTCAGTTTATGGAGGTTTCAGCACTCACAACTGGGACAAGCCTGGCGAGGTTACAGCTACACGGGTGCGCTTTAGGGCTTCGGGTTTGGAGGGTACATGGATCTACAGGGATGAGGGTCTAGGGTTTAGGGCTTTATAATTTGTGAGGGATCTATCGGGATTTATAACGTACCTAGAATAAGGCTTTAGTAGATGTCTCGTGGGATTTATGAGGGATTCGGGAGTTTGACTGTGGTTGAAGTTTTCGGCTTTAAGCTTTAGGGGGTGTTGTTTTAGTTTTTAAACGGCTTCAAGGTTGTGAGGTCTTTAGGGCATAGGGTTGTAGGTACAGGTTTATACTGGCCCCTTGCTCCGTCAGACCGAATGCTTTTGGGCGGCATAGGCGATTTAGGCCATAGGCCTTCGAGTGTTAAGGCATAGGGATTGCGACTCTCAGACCCTCGTAAGGCAGACAAGGCTACACGACGACCCGACCACGATTCGAGTCTAGCCCACAGCCAAGGCACAATCACCAAGGCAAGTGACATCAATCCAAGAAACATCGAACCCAAATAGCCGAGCCACATCAACTTAAACCACGACCCAGCAACCCAACTAAGCAGACTCACAGCTACAAAAGACAAGGATCTCCTCCACCGCTAATGCGGGGGCCTGAATAATGTAGAATAAAGTTTGGGGGTGTATTTTGTTGGAATTGTCGTATTGGCAGTTAACCAAGCCTCTGCACTACACAATCTTTAACTGATGCTGCACAGCACTACTGTCACCGCCATCGCTGGGTGCACCCCAGGCAACGACGGATCCGTCGCCCAGGATGGCAGCAAAGGCACCGTAAGAGGCCTGGATCTGTTGCACATTCTTCAGCTGATCCTGCACAGCACCACTGTTACCACCAAAGCGAGCATTACCCCAAGACACAACAGATCCATCACCAAGAATAGCAGCAAAAGCACCCTGGGAGGCTTGGATTTGCTGCACATTCGTCAGCTGATTCTGCACAGCAGCACTGTCACCACCACGGTCAGCATTACCCCATGTCACGACAGAGCCGTCGCCACAAATGGCAGCGAAAGAATCTCTGGAGGCTTGGATCTGCTGCACATTCGTCAGCTTCTCCTGTACCGCGCTGCTGTCACCACCGCAGCCGGGAGAACCCCAGGTCAGGACAGACCCATCTTCCAGAAGGGCAGCAAAAGCGTTGCTAGAGGATTGGACCAGCTGCACATGTTGAAGCTGCGCCTGAAGCACACGACTGTTCAAACCACGGCCACAATAACCCCAGGTCACGACGGATGCATCGGCGAGAATGGCAGCAAAGGCACTTTCCGATGCCTGGATATGCTGCACATTCTTTAGCTGATCCTGCACATCAGTACTGTCACCACCGGCCCCAGCAGCACCCCAGGTCACAACAGATCCGTGAGCAACAATGGCAGCAAATGCGCCCTCAGAGGCTTGGATCCGCTGCACATTTTTTAGTTGATCCTGCACGGCATCACTGTTACCACCATACCCAGCATTACCCCAAGTCACGACGGACCCATCCCCATCAATGGCGGCAAAAGCATGATGGCAGGCTTGGATCTGCTGCACATTCTTCAACCGATCCTGGACAGCACTACTGTCACCACCATACTCAGCATCACCCCAGGTCCAGACGGATCCGTCCCATAGAAGGGCAGCAAAAGCACCGTCAGAGGATTGGATCTGCTGCACGTTGTGAAGCCGATGCTGACAAGCACTGCTGTCACCACCATACTCAGCACTGCCCCAGGTCACGACAGAGCCATCTCCACGAATGGCAGCAAAGGCATCTCTGGAGGCTTGAATCTGCTGCGCATTCGTCAGCTTTTCCTGCACGGCACTGCCGTCCCCACCAGAATCTGCATCACCCCAAGTTACCACGGATCCGCCAAGAATGGCAGCGAAAGCAGAACCGCCAGCGAAAGCAGAACCGCATTGGACTTGGACCCGCGTTATATGTAATGTTAACCTGTCGCCATTCTGCACTCCGCTTCTCATGACCGTTACGCACACCTCCAGAACTCTTCCTGCTGCATCCAGCAGATGCCCTGGTCCGACTCCAAGTGCGGTCTGCGCGCGACATTGCAAGCTCCCCACTTCCTCTTCCAGGTCTGCTTGGACGATCGCTGTCTTGCCACTGAGCAGTCCCACTTCCACGGTAACCGACATGCTTCCCAACAGCAGCAGTAAATTTAAACCGATGGGTTCTTGGGCGGTTGGGGATGCAGTTGGCAGCATGACAGACATGTGCTTTAACTAGGGCCCAAGGCTTACAACGGTTGATCTCAAGCATCTTGAACCAAAATGCCCTAAACCCGAAGGTATAAGGGTTCAAGGTCTCCGGCTTAGCGGCCTACGGCGAAATCACCTAACTTCATGTATGATCTTATTATTACAGATATTAGTTGATTATTAATACCTATAATCTAGTACTAAGTTATGCCATTAGAATCCGCGATGGAGGGCTTTGGACGTTGAGCCCTCGGGTTCGAGCCTGAGGCGACCATGATTCTCATCAGCAATATTCGTCTTCCCATCGGTTTAGGGTTTAGGGTTTAGGGTACGAATTTGGTTACTACTGTTCCATTATCCACCCCCATTGCTATGATAAATCCTGATGTCAATATGTTTGGAGTAGCCATCGTAACAGTGATTCCTGAGGCTTATTTGCCCTCCGCCTTACAGAGCTTAACACAAGCTGGGCGGCCGCAATCTCCGGCAACTTTCCACAAGTCCGAGGAACCTGGGGCAGGAACCCGACAGCTCGAATGCTGTTGGGGCGTAGTTTTTAGGGTTTGGGTCTAGGGTCTTGGGGTGTAGGGTTTACACTCTCACAACTCGGACAATCCGGGCGAGGTCTATCGAGCGTGGTCGGCGTGAGACAAATGCTTTGGGCTTTAAAATAGTAAAATCTTAAGCAGGGCTTCGGGTTTGGACTCTCGAGGGTTTGGGCTTGGCCACATATGGGGTTTCGGGTTTCGGCACTGCCCGTGAGCACAAGGCCGACAAGGCTTCATCGTTCCGGGGTCGTGGAGTCTTGGACGTAGAGCTGCTAGGGAATATGCATGCATAGAACAGGCGTGTAGACACAGGCACTCTATCGCTTTCTCTGCATCTGCAGTAGTCGGTGTTACGAACACTCGCAGGGACATACACGCAGTTTTGGCACCTACATTGTGCTAAATAAGTTGAAGTTGGCTATGTCATGTCGCCCGTGTCTCATTCTGCACTCGGCTGATGGCGGCTGCAGTGTGATGTAGCATCTGCATCCCGTCTTCCAGAAAATACTTGCTTGCGCCTGTGCCACTGTGAAAGTCTGTGGTCATATAGGGGCCTGAATAATTACCTTTTCTTTTTTTTTGGGGGGGGGGGTCCTTACTAGAAGTATAGTAGAATATACCCCCCAAACCTAATCGAATCTTAAGGCGCCTATACTAAATCGTTATAATAGCCCTTACGGTAACCCTTACAGGCCCCTTTAAAAAGGAACCCTATTCTAATTATTAAGGCCCCTTTATTATGCATCATGCTGCCAGGCCAGGCCAGAAGCCTAGCTGCGACGCGTCCTCGATTTCCAGACCACACCGCATGCTGACCACCAGGACCCCGAAGAGTAGTATAGGGGCCTTAATGATTGGAATAGGGTTTTGGGGCCCGCTATGCTATAATTATAATAAGGACTCCCAAAATAGTATTCGTATTTATGTAAGCCCCTATAGTATGACGAACCTTCCCGAATGCGTGCAAATCCACGAAAAACGAACTCACGGGCGGCCTGAGATCGAGTCGGACAGGGCGTATTGAATCTGGCTGGCAGAGGTGCTGGCATCCTCCTGACATTTGGGTGGTTGTCAAAATTAGGGTCCCTTTTTGGGTACCCTAAATATTAGGTGCCGTACTATATTAAGGACCCAAAAAGGGACCACAGCTTTGACAACCACCCACTTAGAATTTCGGATTTGGGCTTGCGGCTCGGTGAATGTAGGGATGCTTCGAAGCTTGGAGTTTCCCCAGGGTTTGGCACTCTTTACAAAGTTTCAGTATCCTCCGAATTTCCGAATACTACCTTTTGCTCCAGGAGAAGGTTTCTGAACAAGTTTTACATATTGGGCGGCTGATTGAAGCGAACCAGCCCCTCTTGCAGCTCTGCTACAAAACTGACAAGCCGGTTGGAGTAGGAAAGCATGAGACAGACCTTGCGGCGGCCCTGTCTTGAGGCCTGGGGCCCAGTTTAGGATCTACAGCAGAAGCCAAGAGTTGGAAACCCAATAGACTCAAACCTTGTGAGTCATGTATAGGGAACCCCAGCACTACTAGTCCTTTATCCGGTTTCCAACTCGTTCGGTTTTACAACGTGGATGCATGGCTGCGTTCCTAAGAAGACTTCAAGCCTCTGCATCACCGGCCACAACCCTGACCCAATATAGGGGCCTCAATAATTAGGAATATTGCTTGGGGTCGGGCCTATTGTTCTACAAGTAAAATAGGGAACCCCCAAAAATAGTGTTGGAAATTACTTAGGCCCTGAGTATAAGCCCCTAGTATAGCATAAAACCGTATAGACCCCCAGAAGGATCCCTTCAAAAAGGAACCTGAGGTATGGTATGCTCTCCACTCCCCCAGCCCCTGAGGTCCTCAATCAGCATTCGACCAATGCTTCTTGCTGGGCACGAGAGCGTTGGTCGCCCAAAGATCTCATCCTTACGGCATGTCGGGTTCGGTAGTGATGCTCTGATCCGGAGTGTGGGATTCTAGATTCGAAAAGCCAGTCGAATGAAAGAAGCATCTTTAATTAGACCTTTTTTGCTAAACTCGTGGACCAACTCCCACCATTCCAGCATCCATGCAGCGCAGCTTAACTCTCAAAATCAAGGTCTGAATAGCCAGGAATAGTATCCTACTAGTGTTTATGCGTTTATGTACGTTGTTTATGCGTATTTATCGGTTCATGCATGTCTTTTCTCCTGCCTATGATTCTTTACTTGCCACTGATCGTTTCATTTATCTGCATACAGGCTTGATGATTAATTCTATGTGAACCCAATACTGTGTGCAGCATATACAACATTATCTATATATATATATATATGTATTTTCGTCACTCGTGCACCACAAGTCAGACGAGGTTTCAGGCTGGACATGTACATATATATACAAGGGGAGAGGGAGCGAGAGAGAGAGAGAGAGAGAGAGAGAAAGAAGCATACACACAGATAGATGTACATACAAATATGCGATTACATGTACGTATACATAGACGCGTACACATACACATGTACAAATAACGCTTATGCATCTTATACACATGCATGTGCCTGTGTGTACGTACGCATGTATCTATGCATGCATGTATGCGTGGCAGCATGCACATTCACGGATGATGGATGGATGGATGGATGGATGGATGGATGGATGGATCGATGGCTGGATGGATGGATGGATGGATGGACGGATGGACGGATGGACGGATGGACGGATGGACGGATGGACGGATGGACGGATGGACGGATGGACGGATGGACGGATGGACGGATGGACGGATGGACGGATGGACGGATGGACGGATGGACGGATGGATGGATGGACGGATTGCGTGGGTGGATGGATGGATGAATGGATGGATGGATGGGGATGGATGGATGGATGCATGCATGTTTGTAGATGTATAATAGATGTTTTTGCATTTGGGTATACCTCTGCACGTTTATATTCACATCTATCTGTATGCTCATGTACTTCTATCATCGTACGGACCAAACACCTGTCTAACCACGGAGGCTCCTGTATCTTTCCAATACAAGCTTTGCCTATTCAGGCCTTTACACTCCATCTCATGGATGAATGTCTGCAGGGACGCTGTCTGTGCCGGGCTGTTGACGTGGATGAACGTGTTCCGCACCTGCACTCTGACTTGGTTGGGATGATGCACCCTAACATCTGAACCATGACGGCTAGTGACGCGGGGCGCTCGTAGCCTCAATGATTCTGGAGAAACTTAAGGCTGAGGACCTTTAGAAAATTTTGAGATTTGGGCGTCCTGCTGCAATGTCGGCTTTAAGGGTGCTGGGTTTCGAGCTTGACCCCTGAACCTCCCTTCCATGTTCTTGCGCGCCTCGATACAATCCGGAGGATAGGAAAGCAGATCCTGCAAAGATTGCCGAGATAATTTGCTGGTTTTTGTCAGGCTGTTTAACCGGGTTCGGCTTCAGCGCGTTCGGGCTTAAGGCTAGAGTTTACGTCGTGGTTGAGGCTGGAACGACCAAAAGTTTTAGGTAAGACTACGTACAACCAGGGCTAGAAATACACACGAATTCGGCTACTACAGCCTTGCTCGTAGCCTGCTGACTGCTACTGCGGGATGTAGTACACGATCGACTCGATAGCAAGAGAACAGGCAATGAAAATCTTGTAGAAAGCATCATCATGATCATAGCGAGACGAAAAGATGAAAAGAAGCAGGCAAAGTAGCAACAACACGGCCATGTTAAAGCCAATGGGACGAATGAAATAGATAACGGTGATCGTCATACTGCAGCAATGATGAAGCCAATTCTGGGAATGGCAAGAACGCTACTGGGACTGGGGAGAGAAGACTCACGACGCGATGCCTTTTTCAAGTCGTGGGAACAATGAGAATCACAATATCAGTGGGCGGTGGGGGGTATAGGGTTTAGGATTGAAGAATTCGAGCTCTTCAAGCTAAGGCTTACGGATTCGCATTTAACGATGCGGAGGATTGACTCCCTTTTCGCTTGAAAACGTCTGGGGACTCAGCAAGCGGGTTTTGGGTTGGGGCTGCGGGGATGAGCAATATAGGGGCCTTAATAATTAGAATAGGGTTTTGGGGCCCATTATACTATACGTATAAAAAGCAACCCCCGAAATAGCAAAGGTAACTATTCAGGCCCCCTATAGTACTGTTTCAAGGGGTCTTGCATGTTTCATCTTCCTTCTTCTTGCGTTTTGTGAAACCCCGGGTGTCCGAATCTGTCTCTGGCACCACGATCTCCATCTTCGGCATAGGCCGTGCAGCACCCGAGGTCTGCGACAGGAGTTTTGGCTGGTACCTGAGCTTGTCATTTGTTCTTTGAGGCTTCCCTCTCGTCTTGCTCTGGGCATGATAAGAACTTAAGCAGTAATCCGTAATACAGCCTCCTACCGGAAATACCGCATGTGAAACTCTGACATCTCAGTTTGGGGATGGGCTGGGGGTTTGGGGTTTAGGGTTATGGGCTTGGGGTTCGGGGTCTTGGAAGGGAAACTATGCCTGCAACGGGGCTTGGGCGTCGTGGCTCCAGAATTCAAAGTGCAGGGCTTCGTGTCTCAGAAGTTTGGTGTTGGGCAGAGCTCCAAAGAGTGGAAGGATGCACTCTGGCAAACGCGACGTCTTGAATCCCGAACCTCGGCCTCCCCTAGCGAAGAAAGCTTGACAATCGACACACGAGTCTGACCGTACTTCAACCACTTCCAAGAGGGTGGCGCATCATATAAATCACCAAAATTTGAGCTCGACCGTAAGGGACCCTGAAACCTCGGCCCTAACCCTATAACTCAAAATTCCTCAAGCCCAAACCCCGAACTTGAATGCCCGGTTTCTCAGGCTCATCCCACTCTCTGGTTTCCGAACTCTCATCATCTGCTGGAAGCATCTCAACACGGATACTTTGCATACATTCGGGTCCAGGGTTTAACGCTAAGTCCAGGTTGTCCAAATGAGTGTTTAGATGGGGAGGGTGAAGGCGAAATGACTGCTCTCAGTCAAGCTTTCTAGCCTACTTGCCGCTGCTTGCCTCAACGACTTCATAACTCGTCGATATCCACGAAATTGCACGCCGAGCTACATTGACACGAAGCCCTCTGGCATGCGCGTGTGCGCGGGAGGCAAAGGTACCAAGAACAACTCGCTGCCCTAATGCTGGAGCCAAGGGAAACATAGATGCATTATTGTCACCGGCTAAGATTTTGATTTGCGCCCACACACGCGCTATGCCGAGGTCGCCTTGCAGTGGCAAACACTGGGTGGAAGAATACGTACACACATGAGTCCGAGAAATACCTGAACCCGGACCTCTGGTGGATAAACCCTCGAACTGGATCCCTCTTCAAAGGGCGGGCCTTCATCGAACTTTTTTCGAGATCAAAAGAACGTCTGAACCCGCAACCCTGGAACAGCTTAAACCCTAAACCCAAAACCAGACCCTAGACCTGAAACCCCTGGATTTGGGGTTTAGGGTTGAGGATATCCTCCCTCCCTCCCTCTCTCTCTCTCTCTCTCTCTCTCTCTCTCTCCCTCTCTCTCTCTCCTCTCTCTCTCTCTCTCTCTTTCTCTCTCTCTCGCTCCCTCTCTCTCTCTCTCTCTTTCTCTCTCTCTCGCTCCCTCTCTCTCTCTCTCTCTCTCTCTCTCTCGCTCGCTCGCTCGCTCTCTCTCTCTCTCTCTCTCTCTCTCCCTCTCTCTGCCGTTACCTCCACAGCGTCTAGCGTTTAGGATTTAGGGTTCAGGGCTCAGGATTTTGCGTCAAACATTTACGGCGGTTTGGGAGTTGGGCGCTGTGAGTTTACATCTACCTGGGCCAAAATTTGGGGTTTGTTTGTATTTCTTGGCACAATACAGGTAGGTCTGGAAAGGTCACTGGAAAGCTCATGAGTCCCTCAGACCTCTCGTTCATGCTCAAGCTATCCTGGGCGCTCTTGAAGTGCACACTCCTTAAACATTGCATACGAATTCCACAAGCTGGTGATATGCCAAGTATGCACCAAAGCCCTCTTCCAATTTCCTAGCTCCTAGGTTCATGCATCAAGCCTTCCTGGATTTTTTCTGCCGGGTCGTGCGTGGAACTTTCAGCCGGGAAACAGCGCACATGCCCACCACTCACCGTAGCGGTAAGGGTTACCTTGCCTGGGGCCAGCCAGTCTCGAGACTAGGGGGCGTTACTCCTGCTATGGGCCCGTTGAAGAAATTCTATCTTGTCTAGAAGAGCCCCCAAGACGTCTCCAAAGTGCATACCGCAACGCCACTGGCTCCTGCTTCAGCATTGGATCGAGAAGTGGCATCCGAACCCGTAACTCGCAGTTTGGTTTGCGAGCATTGAAGCCTCTGGATGTGAGGCTTCGCGATGAGCCCAAAGCGACCACGGTCCCTTTACAGGAGCTGTCCCAGACTGGCATGCGAGTTCCTCCCAGCGTCTGTACGAATTTTCTGTGCAGTAGTGCCGACTTGATTGCGTGCACTCATAAACTCTATGTGCCTAATTTAAATTCCTAAGCTGCACCCGGCCAGCCGGTCGTGTACAGGGCATTGCTGCGCCGTCTCAAACGGCAGCACTGAAAGGGCTCTGCGAGCCTGCTCCTTATGCACACTCAATGTACCTGCTTACCCATCGAAGCACATGCATGTGTGTGTAAGTAAGTATAGGTTTATGCAATGTCATGTCATGTAATGTATGTATGTTTGTGTGTATGCAAGCATTGAAATGGATGTACACTTTCGAGAACTAGTCGACACATGCATATGCACATACTTTGTTTGATCTGCGGGCTTCTGGTTCCGACTTGGTCGCCGGTCCTATCGGCGAACACAGCTCTGCTGGTGAGAACTGCAACCGCCATCAGTCAAGCTACTAAATTTGGGAGCTTGCGAAAACAGGGGACCCTGATATAGTACCCTGAATAGTAGGATCCTTTATATGAGTACCCCAAAATGAGGTACCCCCAATATTCGGAAACTCCCAAATAAAGAACTACTAGGCTCAAGCGCCTCCTTTCAACGCGGCCTTCTTGGCTTTCTGACGACGCTTCTTTGCCCCACGGTCACATAGATGACAGAAGGTGCACATAGCCCCGTTGATACAGCCCTTGGCCTCAGCTCTAGGGATTAGGGCTTTTTGGTGTTTAGGGTTTAGGGTCTAGGGGTTTAGGTTTTAGGGGCTTTTGGGGTTTAGGGTTTAGGTCAGCCCAGCAGACTGCACGCTCTTCAATGCTCGTCCTTCCTACACACTCCATCTAGATTACCGAATCCTGCAGGGATCAACTGAAATACAATACTTTCATGCCTCAAATGCCTTTCGAACACACCTCAGAAAAAGCCTGAATCAGCAAGTTCAGTTGCTGGGCCCTGCGCCCCACCCCACCCCACACCGCCCTACCCCACGAGCCTGCGGTCTACGGAAGCCCAGATTCCAAATGCGACCACTCCAAAGCCTAAAGCACCCTTTAAGCCCTAGGTTTATACCACCTAATTAACCCGAAACCCTGGCTTTATACCACCTAAAGAAGAGAAGCCCTGAAAGGGACCCGAGACCCTAACCTAAACTCTATAACCCCTATGCTTTGCTTGAACAGAATGCTACCAGTTCCAGAAAGTTGACTAAAGTTCCCAAGCCAACGAAAGCCCAAATAGGTCCCGTAAAGAGGAGACAAGCCCTACACCCACCCAGCACTCAAAGCGTTACAGCTATGCCCCAAACCCCAAAAGCTTTTTGAGAAAGCCGGAAGCCGTTTAGAGTGCGGCGTAGAGGAAGCCAAGACCCTCAAAGCCAAAGCCCAAAACCTAAACTCTAAGCCCCAAACCCCAAAAGTCCCTTAAGAATCGGCTGAGAAGCGGCATAGAGGAAGCTAAGCCCTCTTTCAATCCTCAACCCCCCAAAACCCGAAGCCCTTAAACCCCCAAACCCTATACCCTAAACTCTAATCCCCTAAACCCTGATCCCCTCTACCCTAAACTCTCGAACCTTTTTGGCAGCCCCAAACCTCAAACCCTCGACCCTAAACCCTGCAATCGGCTGAATGTTTGAGCGACACGGAGGTTCAGCTCTCATGACTGATCTCCCATGCCCTGTAAACCCTAACCCCCCCCCCCCTAGGCGGCGTAGAAACCCTGAATCCTAATCCCTTGAACCCTGATCCCCTCTCTCTCTCTCTCTCTCTCTCTCTCTCTCTCTCTCTCTCTCTCTCTCTCTCTCTCTCTCTCTCTCTCTCTCTCTCTCTCTCTCAGGGCACTCAACCCTGATCCCCTCAACCCCAGATCTCCCTAATCCCCTAAAAGCAAAGCGGCTCTAAACCCCCTAAACCCCTAAACGCCCCTAAACGGCCCTAAACCCCCCAAAAGGATCAAAGCGGCGTAGAGGAAGCCCTAAAACCCTTAAAGCCCCGAAGCCTTAGACCACCCTAAACCTTAAACCTTAAACCCTTAACCCTTAACCCTAAACCCTATACCGTTAACCCTAAACCCTAAACCCTAAACCCAAATCCTAAAACCCTAGACCCCAAACCCTAAACCCTAACCCCAAACCCTAAACCCTAAACCTTAAACCCTTAACCCTATAAACCCTAAACCCTTAAGCAAAGCGGCGTAGAGGAAGCCGCAGGGCCGGCAGTCCCCGCGGTGGTGGCCCTTGGATCCGATGCTCGGCAGCTCTGGAGAGCCAGGGGCCGGCTCCTGGGCTTCAAAGGGGGCTCCTCGGGTTTAGGGTTCTTTTTTTTGAGTTCCTTTTTTGCGTCCGCCCTTCGCCCAGGCTAGGGCTTAGGGTTCAGGGTTTAGGGTGTAGGGCTTAGGGTTTTTAGGGCTTAGCATTATTATTGTTGCCATTGTTAGTATTACTACTAGTGTTTAATATCATTATTATAATTATTATAATTATTATAATTATTATAATTATTATAATTATTATAATTATTATAATAATTATTATTATTATTATTAATATTATTATTCTTATTTTTAGTCGTAGTAGCTCCTGGGCTTTAAAGGGTGCCTTTTAGGGCTGTGGTAGTGGTAAGTTGTCAGGTTTAGGGTTGTAGGGTCTTTAAGGGCTCCTCGGCTTTAAGAGGGCCCCTGAGGGCTTAGTTACAAGGTTTTAGGGTTTGTGGTAGTAATAGTAGTAGTCGTAGTAGTAGTAGTAGTAGTAGTAGTAGTAGTAGTAGTAGTAGTAGTAGTAGTAGTAGTAGTAGTAGTAGTAGTAGTAGTAGTAGTAGTGGTAGTAGTAGTAGTGGTAGTAGTAGTAGTAGTAGTAGTAGTAGTAGTAGTAGTAGTCAGCAGAAGCAAACCCAAGCATTTTTTGTCAGCTTCGCAATTGTTCTAAGCTGAACTTGGGGGATTTTGTAGCCTGTTTGGAGAACACCGGTGTCTTGATTTTTGATCGTAGAGCTGGTGCATGTAAGTATGCAAGTGCGAAAGTAAGTATGTGAGTACGTTATGTATGTATGCATGCATGCGCGCATGCATGTATGCATGTATGTATCTGCATTCATGCATACATACACGCCTACATAGACACACACACACCAGTATAGTCTCAACACACAACTATACATACTATGCACATCCACGTGCATGTGTGTGAAGCTTGAGGGCTGGGCCGACAGAATTCCTTCAGTGAAACTCCTCCGTTAAGCTTGTCTGGGTTCTTCCGCAGGAACTCGGTTTCAAACTACTGGCATATAAGTCGCTTCAACCTCGCTCTGATGGAAGGAAGGTAGATTCCAACGGCAGGCATGCAGTGGAGCCGGCAATCCATAGTCTTAGAGCCCCTAAAATTTTTGAATCTCCCAGATGGTTTTTTTTCCGGGATTCGGGGGCTTTGAGGCTTTGCGGTTCCAGAACCTGGCTTCTTCAAGTTGCAAGAGTAGAAACGAACTTTCTGCTCAGAAACCTAGGGGGCTGAAAATGGGGTACACAGTGTAACGATGTTGATCTTAAGGAACCCTCGAGGGTTTTAATTCTAAGTAGTCAAGCGGCAGATGGCAAACTAAGAACCCTACCCACAAGTCCAACAAAGCCCCGAACACTTAAACAGGAGCCCTTGGAACCGTGAAGAAGCCCTTTAAGCAGGAGCCCCTTAAACACGAGGGCCCCTTAACTAGAGCCCC